TAAGGTGCCTTTACTCTCCTTGCTCCCATAGGTATCATGGCCAGCTGCTCACCTTCATTGCTGTGGCTAACATAATGACCTAGGCCTTGAGCAGTCTACCTCCAGCATTCACTGAGGAGTAATGCTGTGGTGTGGATGTTATCCTGTACATTATGTACTATATTCAGCAATGCCCCTAGCTAGCCTCCAACCACTAGAAACCAGTAACAGCTCTCTCTACCTGGTTGTGACAAAGTTATCAGCTATTGTCAAATGTCTTATTAGGAGCGAAATAATTCAGTGTTAAAAGTTCGATACCCAGTGACCTCCATTAAATATTAATTCCTCAAATTTTACAAATGTTTTATAAATCATGCCAAAATATCATCTATCTGTTTCAATCAAGAATGTACAATGCAATCAAGAACCCAAAATGTCCTTTTTATCATATTCTCTGGTCTTCCTATTCTTGAAAAGAGTTCACCACAACCGGAAGACATCTTCTTCAATTCTACACCCTCGTGTAACCCTTACATTGTGTTGGTAACTTTTCTTAGCATCTTTCATGGCTTCTTCTCTTCCTATCACTTAACTGCTAATATTCTTCAGTGATATTTCTGCAGTCCTCATTCTTACTTTGTCTACATGCTCCTCTTGCTTCATCTTTTCTAACAACCACCACCCCCTTGATGCAAGCTACATTTGCAGGAAGAATTATGCCTTAAAACATTAAGTCATTCGTCCAACTAATAACAAGGCACCAACAGAAAGTCCTGTACATTGATCAAGTCAGTTATCCATGCCACCACCAAGAAGTTCACTTTCTTTCTTGACAAAGCTCTTTTCCTTACCTCCTTTGCTTTCTAATGACGTATCCAAAAATCCAAACCAGAGGCTCATAATCTCTATTGTTTATTCATATAACTTATCTCTAAGCTTGTCTGCTCCTTCCCTTCTTCCTTTGCTTTAACCTAACCCAAACCCATTTTGTTGATGTGCTTAGTTTCCTGGCCTCCAATGTGCAGTCGTCCTGGCCTAGCCTTCCCTTTGTTTTTCAGTGATTGTCACAAGCTTCCCTGACACATATTATCTAAACTTCACAATTGTTCTGTAGAACCCTCATAGCCAGTCCAAAATCTACCTTTCTAGTCTCATTTTCCCTGTGTACATCCAACATTCTAGCTACAGCAATTTATTTGTCATTCACTGGCATGTTCTACATGTCTCCAGTCAGAAAAGCAAAACCACTGGCTGGGTTTTGGTTCAGCAGTTGAGACGTTACTGGATATTCATTTCCTATGTCAGAATGCTGCTTCAAGTCCAAGCTCCTCCATTTCTTATCAAGCTTTCTTCTAATGTGGACTGGAGGAGGCAGTAGGCAATGACGCAAGTATTTGAATGCTTGCTACTCGCTCACATGGGAAGGCCTGACAATTGAGTTTTGGGATCCTGATTTTGGCATGGTGTGTGCATTTGAGGAATGAACAGTAGCTTGACAATCTCTCTTTCTGCTTTTGAAATGTAAAAAGAGATTTTTTTTTTAATGAAAGCAAATGAAACCATGACAGATATTTCAACAAAGATGAATTAACACAGGGGACAGTTAAATAACTGTTTGAGAATTTTTAAATGAGAATAGGACCTGGCAGTCAGTCACACAGAGCCTGCATGAGCAGGAGACAGGCATCATTCTGAGTCTGAGGAACTACAGGGAGGACTATGAAGCTGCCAGACACTAAGAAGTTTGGACAGCAGACACCACCTACCTGGGACCCAGACCTCAGAGGAGGGTAACCCCTGCCACTGCTGTTACCTCTGAAACACTGAGAATCAATTGGGTTTATGAAACCTTTATGGAAGGATGGTTAAGGAATCTGTGAGGGTGACACAAAACTGAGCCCTGGGACCCCATCCTGCTGGCAGGAGGAAGAACCATTACTTAGGATAGAGAGAATGTCTTAAAAATGTCTGTCATCATTACTCCCTCTGCTGCCCCCTGCTAGTGGAATCCAGCTAACAACACCAGAGAAATGATTGCGTGTAGAAAAAGTTTCTCAATAACCAACAAAATATTCTTTTTCATTTTCTTGCCTTTCACATGGCTTCCCCAACCATAATGTTCTTTCTACCAATATCTGCATGATACATGTCACTAATGAAACACTATCTTTCCCAAAGTAATTAATTATTAATTTTCATCATTTGAAATCGTCTAGCGATCTGCAGATTCATTCCTAGTGGTCTGTTTATAATATATCACAATATCTCTCTACATGTTTGTTCATTTGCCACCAAACTTTAGGGCTTCTTTTAGGGCAGTTAAGAGTTACATCCTAAAATGTAGCAGGGTGCCTAACACAAAACAGATGTTGATAAAGCCACATGGAATTGATAAGGCCATTTTAATGAACTGAATATTAGGTCATTGTTTTATATTTTATCTTCACAGGCTTACAATATATAGAAACATTGACTGTGCTTTTATTTTCTTTGTGAACTAGTTCATTAACCTCCACATTTCTGATTTTAAATGACATGAACAAGAAGCATGAGTTTATGAGTAGCAGATAGAATCTGGAGTCAGCCTTACTTGTCCTTTTGGCAGGTGATTCCAATAGTAAGACAGGGCTGTGCATATGCCGAAGTTCTGCATTTGCGGGAAAAACAGCATAGTCAAGAGATGAAGTATAATGTGTTTTATTGTAGATTTTAAAGAAATAAAATGTATTCTAGTTTTTATTGTTTCTGTTTAATCTTACATAAAACATTCCCCCAATCCATGAGATTATTAATTCTTGGCTATGTTTTTCCCCAGTATATTTATTAAATTTCTCACAGCCATCAAATCCACTAGTAGATTATTTAATTGCAGATAACATATTGAATTTTAACTTAATCACCAGCTTCTGCAAAAAAAAAAAAAAAAGAAATCTCTGTTCAACAACTGATTTACATTCAAGCCCAAGAAGAAGAAAAATAGCCTTTAAAAAAAAGGAGGGGGAGAGATATTTAATTAACTATTGATTTCTTCTCAATTATTCAGGGCAAGCAATTATCGATATTGATGGAACACATATTTTGCTCCCCTTAGTGCCCAAATGAAAGGAAATATCCCATTCAGCAGTCTGCTGTCTGGAACAAGAAATGCTGAGAATCTTTAACTTTAAATGGAAACAGTTATTTGGATCTGTTAATTCCATGTTGCCCCAATTAAGCAGATATTTCTTGAAATGTAGGCAAAACAAAATCCTGAGAACCTATGACTGTTTTCCAAATTAGCAACAATCCAAACAACTCAGCTTTTATAAATCATGACAATGAAGCTAGCAACTCTGCACTTGTGGACTTTGCTCCACGAGTACAGATCTTCACATTTTTAACTAGGGCTTGTAAAATGCTTCAATTTGAGTCTAACATTCATGACTTGAAACACGCTTAATGAGAGATAGGCTATGCAATCATTAGAAATTATGTAACCCTGGCTTGTACACCAATATTTTGAGCCTGAAGAATTTAGTAGACCTTAATAATCACATCTGACATTTATAAACTGCCATTGTGGATATATTTGAAAATTATACCAATAAACTACACAATTATCACAGAGGTAGATCACCAAGGAGATCTGGAGAAAGGTCACCAAACATGAGCCCAATTTAAGGCACACTACCACCTCTTCCCACCTCATTTGCACACACAAAGCACCAGCACGTTTGTGCTAATTAAGCATCCCTTGAAGGTGACATGACTATTGACCATGATTAATGGACAAGGTATCATTCTCTATTGAGTTATTAGCTGAAAGGTGGATGTTGTTTCAAAGGTACTTTGCACTTAATATTAACTGTGTATATGAATGCATGTGTGTTTAATTCATGGGACACCCAAGGGGAAATCTGACCATGATGTATTTTTATAATGAAAAATGGTATGATTTTTAAGAGGCTCCTTTTTCTGCTCTGCTCCTTCTGCCCGCCAGTTCAGGGAGGCTCTATGTGTTAAGTGCTTAAGCAGCATATGTTGCTGGGAAGTGTTCTTGGCTCCTTTACTCTGTGTTGTTGTTTTAATTTCCCTGGGTTCTATTTAACATTCTGCTAAATCAGTGAAACCTTGATTATCTGAAAGAAGAGGAGACATGGAATTAATGAGGATAACCAGGATTTTGAGGGAATAAGAAATTATTAGAGGCAAGAGTTGCATGGCAGGGTTTGTGGCTGAATCTCAGTCTCCGGAATGACTTGTCTTGATTTATTCAGACTGAGTCTTTTAACTGAAGGACATAATGAAATTTGGGTAATCAGGGTTTCACCATAGCATCTATTACTAGTTCCAGAAATCAAGGTAACCTTGGGCTGGCTCTACTTGCTCGTATTACAGGGTGGCAAAAATCCTAATAGGATGTCAGGGACAAATGTGAGCACTTTTCCTTACACTCCTCCCATGAAACCAGCTTTCTTTCCCATTTGGCTGTTGCCTGCCTGCAGCATGCTACTCTCCCCACACCCCAAGCCCTCATCCCCATGCCTCCCTTGGAGCTCTGTCTCTTGCATGCTGGAGCTGGGATCACGTGCAGGGAGAATGGCCAATCCTGTAGGGGATTCCTGGTCATTTTAGCAATAATGCTTTGCATTTTAAATACCATTCATCTGGCTTCAAAGTTCTGCATTCTTGTAGCAGGCACTTATCCTTGATAAACCCAGGAGGTCACAACAGGTCCCAGTTCCACCAAGAAAAGACAATACCACAGCAGGAGTATTGCATTACTTGGTATTCGACACCCTGAAATGGACAGCGATGATATCCAAGACTGCAACAAAAAATCTATACGAAAAGGACTAACATGATCAAAACAAAGACAGCAAGCCACATTTGTTTGGAAATTGGAGTCACATGTTTAGTTGGAGGGAGAGGGAGGGGGACACGGAATCGATATTTTTTTTTAAAGCTGAAAACATAATGTACCAGAGGAACTTAAATTGATTCTACTTCTCCTCCCCTTCCCCGTCCCCCTTACTCTACAGCGAATGTCTGCGACAACGAGCTCCTGCACTGCCAGAACGGAGGGACGTGCCACAACAATGTGCGCTGCCTGTGCCCAGCCGCTTACACAGGCATTCTCTGCGAGAAGCTGCGGTGCGAGGAGTCCGGCAGCTGCGGGCCCGACTCGGGCGAGGGGTCGCCCGGGCACTGCAGTCCTTGGCTGCTGCTGCTGGCGCTGCTGGGCGCGCTGCTGGGGTCCGCCAGCCCTTAGGGTCCTAGGCACTGCGTTCGCCCCGTGGGACCCGCCTGCGCCAAGGGGAAGCAAAGGCGATCCCAGTATTTGGTACCAACGTAGAAATACAACACACACACACACACACACACACACACACACACACACACACGACATCCCACTCCAACAAAGTGTGCAAACTAAGAGGGCCTAATTGAACTAAGCCATATTTATCAGCCGTGGACAGCACATTGGAGTCAAAACTGTTCCCTTGTGACTCCAGAGGAGTTGACAACTGTTTGGCAACTCACATTTGCCAACTGCAGAGCTTACTGAGGATTGGAAAGGCTGTGACAGCCCCCCAAACGGGAAAGAGAAAAAGACAAACCAACCAACCGACCTACAAACATTAGAGACTCCTGCGCAGTGCACCCTGGAACCGCTCTCTGTTCCATGTGTGGACCACCAAATAGAAGCGTCTGGCGCCTAAGCCGAGCACCTAGTGCGTTTAAGGAAGTCTGTTACAAGCTGCCATACTGGCCTGCTTCAGCCCCCAGATCCCTTCCAACCTGTGCTTTAGTGAACGTTGCTCTGTAACCCTTGTTGGTTGAAAGATTTCTTTGTCTGACGTTAGTGATGCACATGTGTACCAGCCCCCTCCAAAAGCGCCAGCCAGTCACACCCCTGTATTTCTTAGCAGCACTGAATCAACCCAGTGCGAGGCACACCCACTATTCCAGAGTGGCCATAGGAAGAGAAAGTGTATCTATCCTTTTGTATTCAAATGAAGTTATTTTTCTTGAAATACTGTAATATGTAGATTTTTTGTATTATTGCCAATTTGTGTTACCAGACAATCTGTTCATGTATCTAATTCAAATCAGCAGAGACTGACATTTTATTTTGTCTTCTTTCGTTTTTTTGTTTCGTTTCATTGTGCAGAGATTCCTCTGTAAGGGCAACGAACGTGCTGGCATCAAAGAATATCCGTTTACATATATAACAAGTGTAATAAGATTCCACCAAAGGACATTCTAAATGTTTTCCTGTTGCTTTAACACTGGAAGATTTAAAGAATAAAAATTCCTGCATAAACGGTTTCAGGAATTTGTATTGCAGTTTCTTAAGCTGAAAGGAGCAGCCACCGAGCAGTTTCACACTCACTTTACTGATTTCTGTGTGGACTGAATATGTTCAGCTGACGAATTTAGTACCCAGGAAGACGGATTGATGTTCACTAGCTTGGACAATTTCTGCAAAATATGAGACTATTTCCACTTGGGAAAAATTATAACAGCAAAAAAAAAAAATTCTAAGTGATTGCCAAGATTATGCCAAAGCCTGTTGGCACAGTACTAAGAGACTTTTATTTTTAAGTCATGCTATTTTCACAGATTGATGGTGATCATGTGACTCTAGGGATGCTGATCTATGTATTTTTCCAAATACAGTGTTTACATGGAGTATCCTAAGAGGCTGCCTGGGAGCCAGGAGACTAGCAGGGACATTGAATGATTCGCAGTTTGACTTTGAATATTTTCAGGCTAAGTACTTGGTGGAAATATCAACTATACAGCAGCAAGTAGACAGAACTGCTGTTCGTAAGAATGAAGTTTGTTTTAAGTACTGCCCAAGGTGTAATAAATTCTTATTTCTGCCTTTTATTAGGCCAATTACTGCACAAGACAGCCAAGGGGGGATATGGGCAAGAACCTCTGCAACTGTCAAAGGGACTAAAACGGTCGTTCCATTCCCAGTGCACTGTTGTCCCACGAGTTACAAATGTGTTAGCAGCAGCAGCAGCTCCGGGAATCAAAAATAATTATCGGCCCTGGCCAGAGCCTTGTGGACAGTGAATCCCTCTACGACTGGGTGAACAGTAAGCTGTGACAGCACTAGGCTGGAAGCCGGGTTTCGGTCTGATCATCTCCCTGCTGCCACTCTTTGCTGAAGGGCAGGTTGGGGAGGATGTCCTCTGATAAACAACCTGCAAGAACTAGATGAAGGAACAGCGTGTCTTATTGGTTTTGTTCCCAGAAAAGCCAATTCAAAGAAGGCAATAAAAGGTAAACAGGTAATGCCTGTACTGCCTGCCACCCCACGTCTAAGTCGATTGAACGTTTGTTATTCAAACCAACAGTCTCTTTTGATAGAAGAAATAAGAAAAGATGGAAATACATTAGAAGCTCTGGCTTCGCGCCAGAGTGGCCAACCAGAAATTGCAGATTTACATTAGAAGCATAAACAGAAAATTATATTTCAGGCTCACCAAAGAAAGCACATGAAAATTCTGATAACATACAATGTTGAGATTACTTATAATGAGGTGGATTTCTAATATTAAAATTGGAATTTAAGTTGTCTTACCGTATATTAGCGCAAACCAAAGGCAGACTGTGTTATTTCTGGCAGTGATGCACTTTATCATTATTCACTCATGGCTTTATCACAATGCTCAGGAATCAGACACTGCACATTTCAATACAGTAGATTCCAAAAGCTAATTCTCAAATTTAATGAAGCTCTGATCTAAATCAATTCATCTGCATTTTATCTTTATGAGGTTATAAGAATCTAAATTGATGAGGAATATCTTGCGTTCAGTATATTTAGATATAGTTTTCTGAATTTCCTGAAGTGATGTGATCTGCTTTTAATAAAAATTCACTTTTAGGTATATAATAAATGGAAATGAAATGTTCTTTCTTAATCTGGGGTCTCAAGTTCTTCTAAGGCGCCTATTCCTTTGAGGGGAAAATAAAACCCTCAGTGGATTTTACTTACCTGCTATTTTCCAGAATTCTTGCAAATCTGACTTCACCTACAACATTATGAACTGAGGAAAGACTAGAGTGAAAAGAGTATAAAATTGTCCCCACATTCCAGTTCGCTTCCACATGGGTAGATCCCCATAAGCAGATTAAATGAGGTCAATCTGTTCATTTTCCAAAAGAATAAAACACAAGTATGTTTCCACCAACACTATTGGTGAGCGTAACATTTCAAAAAATGGGACAGTATTTTAGCTATAGAGAAGTGTTACTCTCTACAGGAAAGAAGAAAACATACTCAGCTATGATGTGGGGGTGACACAGAGGCCCATTGGGACCCTCCTCCAGCTTTGCCACACTTGCCAGGAACCTGCAGCTCCTGCCCCTTAGAAGTCCTCACTCATTCCTAGTACATGGCATACACTTGCTCCCAGCAGTCTCAACACTGACAAAAGCCAGCATCATGAGTATGCTCCTGGGCATAAAAGATGCCTACGTGCGTAAGGGTTGGTGCCTGAACCTCCAGTGCTTTCTGGGAGATTCACACATGAATGAGGAGCCTCCCTACACAGGGAAAACCAGAGCACAGGCTCTGAAAGATAGAGATAGGCTTGTGGGATGTAGGGCATAGACAAGAGCCACTCCAGTTCAGGGTATATTCAGAATGGGAGTCAGAGCAGCCTAAGCTTAAGCAATGCAAAGGCTTCTAGGGGCCACACTTGAGTCAAAGCAGCAGGATGGACCACAAGGTATTTAATGTTTCGTTAGCTTAATGTATGACTGTTAACTAGTTAACCATATGCCTGTGGACCTTCATTGGTACTTCCGTCCTGGGCTCTAAGACCCATAGGACTGGATGTTTCTAACACACCCTTGAGTCAAATCCCTACCTAGACTCACACATATCACCCAGGTAACATAAAGAAAGGACAGGTTGGAAGAACACACAAATTCTACAGTTCAACTATCTCTTGTTAATGCTGTAGCAAATCCCTTCTTGAACACATGGCTTTTGGGGGATCAAAGAGTTTGGGATGAAATGGAGGAAGCTGTAAGAAAATCCTTTGTTCGGTCTCCTTCCCTCTGCTTTCAACTGTCCAGTCCTATTGGGGTATAAAGAGCCAGTATTTGAAATGGAATGTTCTGTGCTACATGGAAAATGAGTCATTGTATTGCACCTATTGTTAAATACTAAATAAAATACCTATTTAACCATTTCTCCACTCACAGGATTGAACAGTCTATGCGGAAACTGAAGTATGTGTACCATATATTTGTTACGTATGGAATTTTTTTTATGCTTGATCTGATGTGATTTAAAGCCTCAGCTTCAGGAATCTGAACTTAAATATTATACTTACAGTTATAACTGATAAAGATGGTAGTGTCTTAGATTGATATGGATATTCAGGTAAAACTCAAGTTTCATTTTCTGTTTCCAACAGGTCAGCCTTAGTAATAACAAGGATGACAATAGAGATAAGAGATGCCTTCAAGGTTTTGATTAGGATTTCTCCTCATGGACAAGGGTTTCTTTGCCTAAGGAGACCAGGATTAGATTGTAGTCAATGTCATCTCTAGGAGATAACAAGTTATTAACTGGCACAACTATTCTAAAATTTGTGCCCTTTTCCATATGCAATTATTCACTAAATGATACTTTCATGTCACACGAAAAGTATTTTTTTCCTTTAGTAGCCTAATATCGATGCCAACAAATTCCAGGTGTACAGTGCTCAGAAACAACTATCATATTTTGAATTTTTCCCAAGAATCTTGGGAACATAGAGGACTTTCATTCCCCACAACATCTGGTATGGTGTGATTCACATATTTTCTTCATCCTACATGTGCAGAGTCCAATAACTAAGAAACAACCTATCCTTTATGCAAGCCATACAATTGCATTTAACTAGGAATGAGAAAACAATATCTGTGGGAAAACTTACATTAGTATCAAATAACCTGCAATTACTCGTGATCTGTAATGGCAGAAAAATCCAACCCTAGCACATTTTTAGAACAGGTCCTAAAGCAAGTCCAGTAAGAAGACTTAAATGGTTTCATAGGATGGTGTTTTTGGACAACTAAATACTCAATACATGCTGGAATTCTCCTTCTTCCTTCTCCCTTCATTCAAAAGCTGCTCTTAATTGATGGGTGAATTCAAATGTAGTAGTAACATTAAAAACAACGTGATGTTTTTACTAACACTGAAATCGTAACTGGCAAAATGGACCATTATTCTGCAAAAATCTAATTATGCTAGCACTAAA